TCTCTACCTGTGAACAGGCCTAGGGGGAAAAGCACTGCAGAGAGCTCAATAACTAGCTTGTAAGCAGAGTTTTCCTTGTGGTTTTTGTTAACACCAGCCAGACTCTGGAAACTGCTTATTATTCTGCTCTGAGAGAAGCTGGTTCATCTGATCTCCTGCTGTTTGACGTGTTTGCCACTGTTCACAATAGCAGCCACTTCTGGCAGTGGCTTGTAATTTAACAATATACTTGATTACAGACGGTCACTGCATGATACCCTCTGCAGTGTGAGCAGAGCTGCACATTAAGGGCAATGTCTGGTACCACAGCAGCTTGCAAATGTGTGTTTTCTCTCCATTATTTTCCAGTGCATGCACACAAGTACCATTGTGCCAATGGAGCCCAAAGTGCCAGCTTAATTCTCCGTTTCAGCCCTCTTGCCTCCCAGCACGAGGAGGATCTGAATGCATTGGGACGAGGCTGTTTTGTCTGCTGTGATGAGGTCAAGCCTGTGTGCAGTTCGCTCTCCTCCTGAAGGAGGAATCTGCTGGTTCTCTTTATCCTTGAGAGGCCACGTGCTCAGTCTTGTTCTGGTTAACACACGTGTGTCAAATAGTTACCAGTTCTCAGAGGGGAGGATTTTCCCATGTTCCAGTGGGGTGGGTTTTTACCCTTTCTCAGTGCAGGTAAACAGTTGTAATCTCATTTCTCAGCTGTCTGTTACATTAACATAGCTAAGGTGATGTGTATGAAGAAGGTGGAAGTGGAAATTCATGCAGTTTTTTGGTAGCTAAGAGCTGGCACTCAAATGGTGGATGTGGAGGTTTTGTGGATCTGCTGTTGGCAGGGAGCCTGTTCCAGGGTAAAGCAAGAAGCTTTTTCTTTGCTGTTAAATCCTACCTTGGTTTGGAAATTAAAGAAACGTTTGCTTGCTGCTCCCTGTTTGATCAGAGGGAATGTTCTGTAACAAATGGACTGCTGTGCCCTGCTGCCTCTTGCACCTCTACTTCCAGCAGCGTTTCTCAGCCCTCATCGCCTCTGTAGGCTGAACTTACTGTGAAGGACTGAAGAGCAAACTGTCTTTGTGGCCAGGAGGTGATTATTCTGGAGAGGCCACTTTCACATGAAAATGCTTCTTCTCAAAATCTCACAGTACAATTTGCCTTCCTGGTGAATGAGCTGTTTGTTGTGATTTCATTCATTCATGCTGCATGGTCAAAGTGTAGCATGTCCAGCACCTCTAGAGAAACTGCATGAGGAGCTGATTCAGGACTGCTGTCAAATTCCTGCTTTCTCAAAATGTTCTCAGTTTCTCCAAGTTAGGAAGATGTTAGGAAAAGTTAATTGCCTCAGTTTGGGATGACTTCCTATGCAAAAAGCATAATTAGCCGATGTAAAACTAATCTTGATTTGAAGAAGCTGCAGTGCCTGAATGGCCTTGAGGGGCTGCCCTGACTTCAGGTACTCTTCTCTCGAGCTCTTGCAGCCACGTGGGTGAAGAATCTGCCTTGAAGTGCTGCAGTCTTAACTCTGTTTTTCCTGTTGACAGGGTCACCTTGTCCTCCACAGACTGTTACATCGTGCACGAGATCTACAACGGAGAGAATGCTCAGGACCAGTTTGAGTACGAGCTGGAGCAGGCCCTGGAAGCGCAGTACAAATACATCGTGATAGAGCCCACCCGCATCGGGGACGAGACGGCCCGCTGGATCACCGTGGGGAACTGCCTGCACAAGACGGCCGTGCTGGCGGGCACCACCTGCCTCTTCACCCCTTTGGCACTTCCAGTAGATTATTCTCACTACATCTCGCTGCCCGCTGGCGTGCTGAGCATGGCTTGCTGCACCCTTTATGGCATCTCGTGGCAGTTCGATCCTTGTTGCAAGTACCAAGTAGAGTATGACGCCTATAAACTCTCCCGCCTGCCCTTGCATACGCTCACCTCCTCCACTCCGGTGGTGCTGGTGAGGAAGGACGACCTGCACAGAAAGAGACTGCACAACACGATAGCACTGGCTGCCCTGGTGTACTGTGTAAAGAAGATCTATGAACTCTACGCTGTATGACTGCGGCGGGGAAGAGAGAAGCCTACAGAGACAAGTGTATTAAGACTCCCACAGTAACATTTTGTTTTTCCTCTTTGAGAAGCAGTGGAGACTGGCAAGGAGTTGGTTTAATAGAGCTGTTATTTTTAAAATAACACATCACTGGTGCACCGAGGTTTTTCAGTTCTTCGTTACACTTAAGATTTGGATGTGTGGTGACTTGAGAGCTTTATGTTAGCCATGGGGAGTCCAGTCCAGCAGTGGAGTGTCAATGAAAGAAAGATAAAGAGGGAGGGGAGGGTGAGAGCTTTTTTTTTTTTTCCTTTTTTTGAAACATTTAAGTATATTGTTTAATTGTATTACACAGAACCAGCCAGACGTTATCATTGACCATTAAAGGATGAGAATTTCAAATGATTTTGCACTCTCATTACTGTTAAGATAGCTCCCTTTTGGCTGCTGCTGTGGTGATGATGATATCCTCGTACCCAGACCTGGCAGCAGCATCCAAGTTGTCTGTTGAAGGAATTGTTGGAGTGTGGTGGTGCTTTTTTTCTTGCTCGACTGGTTGTGTTTCTTGAAAGAAGGTGCACGAATTAGGCTGGTGTTGCTGTCTTTTTGGTAGTCACATAACTGTGGATGCTGGGTGCTAGAAATAGCCAAACCCTCTGCTGCCCTGCCCTCCTCCAGCTGTTATTCCTTCGCACAGCGATGATCTCAACACAGTTTCCACCTAAAAGCACATTACACTAAATTGCTGTACAAGTTCTTCCTAACGTGGATGCATCTCCATTGAAGTTTGCTGTACCAAATGCAGCTCAGGATGCCAAGGTGGGAGCCCAGCTGTCGTATCTGTGCTTTTTCACTGCCACTTGGACAGCTGTGCCCTGACCACACAATTCCACTGGTCTGGCTTGGAACGTGAACTAATGGAGCTGCTTCAAGGCATCTGGATGACTGTATCTTGCCACTGTGTTATCTGAAATTCTAGAATTCAGTCTACTGCATGAATTTAACTTCTAGCTCTAAGAAGGGAAAGCATTACTGTTTTGCAACATCTGCCGCTTGCTTGTTAAAGGCAGGAGCTTGCTTTCTATCTATTCTCCTCCTACCAGATGGAAAAGAGGTGTGGCCTACTTTTATAATGCCAGCTTAGCACAGCTTCAAGGGTTACGATCTGAATACAGCAGCAAAGGCCTGTAATAAAACCTGCCTGCATACAGGTGTGCTGCTTAATGAAATAGTATTTGCAGTCTGATCGCCGCATCTGAAGCGCTGACCTTGGAAGAGAGACTCGTGAGATGAGAAACCAAATTCATTTCTCTTTTCAAATCCCAGCAGCAGGCAGTGATTGTCCCTCTCACTTCCAGGCTGCAGCCACACCTGAGCAGGCACGTAGGTTAGAGGGAATTGCTGTGGCATCAGGAGTTTTCTGTGTTTCAAACCTTGGCCTCTTTTGCTGGTACAGTGGATGCCTCCCCTCCAAGGTTAAAAGAAGCTGAGATCCAGACCGTCTCTATTTATAGCAACAACATACAGTTGCCTTGGCAGAGAGCAGAGGAAGAAATGCAATTACTTCATCTTTCTACAGTTAGCCTGAGACTGCTGGCAGGCTGCTTTTCAGGTTCTGATGTTGCTTGTTCCTAAAATCCTGTCTATCTTTTGGATAATTTTAAACTAGCAATGGATCTGCTGCAGCCAGTATGTATTTTATTGCTGCAGAAGGTCCCCAAGTATCCTTGTCCAAGCCACACAAGATATTCCTGTGCTTGCAGAAGAACTGTTAGGGCTGTTAGCTTCCTTTCTTCACCCAAACCCAAAGGTCCTGGCACCTTCTGTGGTGTCAGGCTTTCCCTTGCCTGGAATGATCACTGACAGAAGAACTAACCTTTGGGAGGCTCTTTAAGAGCACAACTTGCATCAAATGCTCTGCAGTTAAAAATGAGCACGTTTACTGTGGTCTCTTACTGCAGGAGGAAGTGAAAAACCAGCTATTGCAACAGGTAGGCCTGTTTTAAAAACACACCTTTCATCCTGTTCTGGAGATGTGGGTTCTTGTTTTCAAGTGCCCTGCGTGCTTTGCTGCCCATCTTGACCATCAGGCGCTCTGAAATGGAGAGCGTTGCACTCCTCTCGCTGCAGAGGGGGATTCTGCTCTCAGAGGGGAATGTGCACGCCCTTGGTATTCTGACTCTGCTGCAGTTCTGTGTACAGTAACTACAATAACTCCCCTGCATGTATTTTTTCTTTCCTTAGGCCTGATGCATTATATCTGTCAGCACTCTGGGAGATAACACAGAAATGCAAAGCAGCCCCTTCCTCCTTCCTGAGCTACTGTGATTAGAAACATCAGCAGACAGCAGTTGGACAAGACTGGCAGGAGAGCTGTATTTCACTGTGAGGTGAAAGACCGAAATGTGCAGAATGTGAAAGGAAAAGCATGAGTAACAATTAGAGCAGCTCTCCTTGTGGAGAGAGAAAGGAGGTAATGCCTTGGTTTTGTAATTTAACAGTGAAAAAAAAAGATTCCAGTCTTCAGAGACTACACTGGAAAGCTTCTGCTTGTAATTTCAACTCGAAGCCTTCATACAACAAACTGACAGCCTCCACCATAACGGCAGTGGAGAACAACCAAACCGAGCAGCGGCCTTGTGGCCATTAAACACATTCTGGTGATCATCTGAGATGAGGCTCTCAGAGATCCATTATAAACCTACTGGGCAAAAATAGACTTTATGAAGAAGGTCCTGCAGACCCCGTGCTCCTGTATCAGACTTCTAACTTCACTAATCCTCTGTGGATTTACACTGCCTACTGTAAACTAGCAGGTGATAGAAAAGAGGGCTGGGATGAAGTATGTTGTTTTGCAACTACTGCTGGCACAGTAACACCTCACAGAAACTGTTCTTTAATGCTTTCCCTTCCTCCAAAGTTACCCCTGAAGTGAGGAGCTGAAACAGAATACAGGATGCTAGTTTATGGCAACGTAATTTATTTGTCATCAGATACACACTCACAGGCAGGACATACAAGGCAGTACACTGGGAGAGTGCTGCTAAGTGCATGGAGGTGGCAGCAGTTTGGACCTCATAAGCTTTCTTTTAATTTATATATTTCTGTCTTCTGAACCATCCCAGTGCAGCCATTTATTTTTCCTAGTGTTGCTGGGATCACACAGGGCAGGATACACCTTCTCTGGGAGGAGGAACAAGTTGTATGCAGTGTGGAAATGCAAAGGGGTGAAGAATGGAGTATGGCATTCCTTCAGGCTGAAGAACTCCTTGTAACCTGTGCTGTCTGTGCAAGCAGCTCTCCTCCTCTCCCTGGATGTGATCCTAACTGGCACCTGGGACTGGTTTAAGTCAGGTGAGAACTAAGGGTCTGTCTCCTGTGTCATCCACCCTACACACAGATCCTTTCTGCTTGCCAGGAATATGGTGTGCCTGGCAGCTAAAGAATCACGCCTGCTCTGTGCTCTAGGCCAGCAGGAGGACCAGGTGTCTATCAGCTAATAGCTGCCCTGCTATTTTTTATCTGTCTGGTGCTACTCCTGCATTAACCTGTGTTGCATTAACACCGTGGTGCCAGGTGGCACAGTGTCACAGCCCCACACCTTGGTAAGGTACCAATCAGACAGATAACATCATTTCCACATAAAACCTGCATTCTACATGAGTTACTTTTTAAAAATGGCACTGGACTTAGCTTTAGCTTAACATATCAGATGGTTTGGCACATGAACAAGCAGAGGCTCAGAAGTTTTCCACTACAAGCAATGCGTTTTGGATGAGATTGGAAGGAGTGGGAAGGAGACACTGATCATGCAAGCTCTCAGCTGGAGACTGTATTTCAGAGGCCACAGGGGGCATGAAGGCAAACCAAGTGGGTTTTAGTTGTAGCAGGCCAGTAAAGCTGAGCGTGCCTGAGGTGAGGTAAAGTGTCTTTCAGCACATGGGCTTCTCCTGCTGTGAAGTGTGTACATACCTACAGTTACCCTCTCTTGCAGCTTCAGCTCCCACACTTTGTTCCAAGCACCCTTCTTCAGGGAGGTTCAGGTGCTGTAATCTGGCACGTGGGCCTGCCCCGTCGTGGGGGACACTGCTTCTCACTCTCCATGCAATGGTAAGTTGCAGCATTTAGAGAAAGGTTTTTCCCACAGGAGCACTTCCACTGATGTCCCAGCCAAACTGCAGGACGTTACTCTCTCCCTACAGTTACTGCTCGAATGAGCTGAGCCCTAAGAGTCCTTTGTTTTTCTCTCCTTTTTTGCTCTAGTTGCCATTAAGTTGAAGAAAAGCCTGGGAAAGAGGTTTCGTAGGTATACAGCCAGGGAGGGCTTTAGGCCAGCCACAAGGACTTCCTTCTTCTTCTGCCCCACTGCATAGAGAACCACCTGAGCGACCTCTGCAGCTGTCTGGCCTTCAGCAGTGTTCTTGTCCATAACTGCCAAAGCAAAGCCAAGGAAGCATCAACACTGGAAGGTAAGCCCACACTTAAACACCCTTCCAAGGAACGCTGTAGCTGTACGTGGTTGCTGTCCTACTTCTTGGTTTTTACACAGGCAGGTACAAAGCATGGCTGAGCTAGAAATGAATGCGTGCTCCTTCCAAGACCCAGGCTGCAGAACACAAGCCTTGTGGCCCGTCTCACAATTAAAGCCTGGAGCCAAAAGCTCCAGTACGTCCTTCTCTTTCTGACTGCTGATTCCAGATGCACTGAAATCTCAAGCTTCAGGAACAATAGCAGAGTCCTTCAAAGACATTGCTTAGATTTAGCTGCCCTATAAAATTACCTTAAACTCAGTGACCCCACGGTGGTTGCTGATTAGGAAGGCTAGATCCAAAGGTTTCTTTTGATGCTTCAGGGCTAACTTATCTCTCCACCAGAGGCCATATGTTGCAAGCATCTTTTGGAGTAACTCAGTGAGGTAGAAATGTGTTAGGTACAGGACACAAAACCATATCTCACCTCCATAGCGAGATCCATCTGCTGTGACAGCATTGAGAGAAAGGTTTGTTTGGATGTATCCAGGGCTTATAACCGTCACATCAATGTCATACTGCTCAACCTCTGCTCGCAGGCAATCAAAGAAGGCCTGGGTAGCATGCTTAGAGGCAGCATCTGAAAAACAGGACAAAGGCTATGCACTAAGAGCAGAGCTGGAGAACAGTTTATCCCCAAGTGGGCTTTTCACCAGAATGCAGCCACCTCTCAGCAAGAACTCAGCAGCTGTCTGCTAGCTTTTGATTGTTCTTAGTGAATGGCAGCAAGAGGCAGTGGAATTAAGAGGCAATTCAGGTAGGCAAAATGTAAATACTCAAGTTGGAAACTGGCTAGAATTCTGAACTTAATATCTCACAGCCATGCCAAAGCCACTACAGAGTGAACCCAAGTGGGGGCCTCCCACTCACGATAGAAGAAACATGAAGGCTGTCTTGGGAGGCACTGGATAAGACTGACTGAGGCTGAGGGAACACGATGCCCTGTGTGCACTAAGCATTAAGGACTTCAGAACTTGGCTGCACACCTGATCACACAGCACATAGCGTGCCCTAGGGTAGGATTTCCCTGTTCAATGCATGAACTACTCCTTTTGCCTGCTTGCTTTCCACATGCACTTGGTTGACACTGCTGTGACAGCCATCACCTCAGCATGGTTCAGGGATGACAGCAGCAGCACACAGCTCAGTACACGCTCTGAGGACCTGTAAGCAAAGCTGAGCTTCATGCAGCTTGAGCCACACGGCTCTGGTCAGTGTGCAGCATTCTGGAAGCTCTTCAGAACACACATCTTGCTGCAATCATCCCCACATCATCTGCAAGCCATGATGGCCAGACATTCCAAGCTCTCCTTCACTCAACACCATGCTCTACCACATGCCTACCACCTCCACTGCATGTTTTCTTCTTCCTGTTTATTTTCAGTGATTTACAGGTGCTTTCATGCCAAATACTGTTCTCTTAGATCCTCTATCTTTTCCAAGACTTCTTCCAGTAATCTCACCAATGTTGTTCATTGGTATATCTGATTTAGTGTGCAAATCTTTCTGGGTCCAAGGTAACTGTTTAGGTTTTCCTTTTGCTATCAATTGTACCACGGCACTTCATAACGTAAGCCAAAAAGTTCTTACTTTTTTTAGGAAATTAATCAGACAACAAGGAAAAAATGCAATAAAATTAGCAAACTAATTACTCCCAAGGGATGGAAAAATAGAAAATATACAGGACTCCCAAATATTAAGGTAGGAATATGAAACAGTTTGCAAGACTGAAATTCTAAGCAAAAAAGTCACATTCCTTATTCTCCTCTCCCATCTTCAAAACAGGGCTTTGTATCTGTGTGTGCCTTCCCCAACAGCTGCCACAGGTTTCTTAGTGTGGTCACCACACAGATTCACAGCCCTGCCTTCCCTGCACACAGCCAGCTGCATGGAGAACTAAATGTGCAATCTTTCATTCAGCCTGGTGCCCCAAACATGCCTTTCCCATCTTCTGTGGAGGTACTTACATGCTGATCTGAAAGGAATGCTTATTTTGCCTTGAACACTGCTGATGGCCACAATATGGCCTTGTCTCCTCTTGATCATGGAAGGGAGAAGTGCTGGCAAGAGACAAAAAAGAGTAACAGTCTGACCGTTATTGCCTTTGAGAATGGATGCTTTCAGAGCAGTGCTTCAGAGAAGCCTCAGTGAGTGCATGACAAGATCCTCGTTCAGGGTAGGGGTTGGGCAAGGCATGGTGCTTGGGATACTTGTAACTGAAACTGGGGCATTCCCATTATTAGGTGACTTGTTGCCAGTGAGGTTGCACAAAGGCCTTACAGTTGCTATGGTGAAGAGAACTTGCTCTCTCCTGCCACCAGTGCACCTTTAGAGTTCTTACAGCTCACACCCTCCAGGTTGAACCTTCTATACAACCAGGGAAGCCTTCTAGGAAAGCTTACAGCCTCACCTTGAACCCAAACTCCATTCCTTCAGGATTTCATCAGAGCAGCCAGACCAGCCAAAGTTCCTTCCAGACTCAAGTCAGGAGGTGTTTTAAGCAAGGTATCATCTCTAATCCTGTACCTCCCATACAGTCATACCCACATATCAACATCATACGTGCCCATAGAACAAAACTCTCCTCCCCTCATACTGTATTCTAGCAAATACATTAGCAGTTAAGCTGTTCTTAGTTGTGTTTGCTTTCGTAAGGTACAAGCCACTGTGCCCCTATAATGTGAATGACAGGTACCTTTGGTGAGGGCTATGGGACCAAAATAATTGGTTTCCATCACTTTCTTGTCCACATCCAGACCTGTCTCTACAATTGTGCCTCGGTAACTGATGCCTGCATTGTTGATCAGTATGTCCACATGGCCCAGGTACTTCAGAATCTCTACAGCAGCACTTAGAATGGTTTTAGTGTCCGAGAGGTCAAACACCACAGTGTGAGGTTTGTGCATCTGAAAAACAAAAGTCAGCCAGAAAGACCATTCAGGGTGTGCTAAATGTGCTTACATTCATGACTCAGAGAGAAGGCTGTCCAAGCCTCCTTCAATCAGTGTGCTGGGTACTGCACAGGAATACATGACAGAAGCAGCTTGTACTCTGGTCTCTTCCTGCTCTCCTGGCCTGTTCCTCACACCAGACAGAGGAAAAGGGCAAGTGAGATCTTCCTCAGGTGCACAGTTTGTTGTTGAGTTACCTAAGAAACTGTATCTAATGCAGTAAAAAAATGCAATTCCTGCTTACTTCAGAAGCCAGCAGTATCTTTCTTATCCACAGCCAGCAGAGCTAGACTTCAGAAAGAAAAGCAAAGACACAGCAAACCTTGAGAAGTGCCATCATAGCGTATAGATGCAGTGGGGCTGGGGGACTCTGCTCACTTCATGTGTTCGCTTCCATTACAAGACAAGGGTCCTTCAGCTGGCTTATTTGTGTAGGCTTTCTGCAAACTCAGACATGTCAGCTCAAAGCACTCCTATAGCAATATCTCTCCCCAACCACAACATATTGCTCAACAGAACAGCACACAAGCAATTCTAACTTCTGTGCTAGCACAGATACCCATCCCAGCTGCGTGGGACAGCGAGCCTTTCCTCCTCACGCGCTTACGTTCTTTCGGTGATCGGTCATGGCAGAAAGTTCCTGTGCCAGGTCTTTGAGTTTCTCACTGTCTCTGCCGCAGAGCACCACCCTGGAGCCAGCTGCATGGAAGGCCTTTGCACATTCTTTGGAAGAAGCAAGAAAAAGAGAAAAAGTGGGCATCTGAATGCCAGAGACAAACAGCAGATCCACGCGACATCTCGTAGGCTGAAACCCTTTAGCTAGCAAGGGTCAAGGGCAGTGGTTTGTTATCCCTGAGGAGAACAGTGGAAAGGAACAGCCAGCAACACTTCATCTGTACAGCATATCACAGCTGGAAGGTCTCCCTTGAGGTACTGCCTTGGGATACCAGCTATTTGGATGAGAAATTAAAATCATCTTTCTGCTCTCAGCCTTTTGGTTCTGACAGGCAGAGAAATCAGTTCCATCTCCTCGCCATTCAGTTACACCTTTGTCCTTAAGGACAAACTCACAAGCAAATGCAGCTTCAGTTTAAGCTCTGCTTGTTCTCTAGGTGTACTCATCCTAATGAAAGGCCTTGATAGCAGAGTGCTTTCTTCCCTTCAAGAAGCTTTTTAAAGCAATTATTCTATTTAAATTAAAGCAGAGTTAGAAATGTATCCACTCACACAGAAAAAAAAGTGTTTGATTTGGAGGAAAAAAAAAAAGGGGGGGGGTTATTTGGAAAAAGGTTGTATTAATATTGCCAAGAGTTTTTAAATTAAGTAGATGGATTTATACCAGAAGAGAAAAGGTGCATTAACTTGGGGATGAGGGAAAAAGATGACAGGGAATCTCAAAATGCAACAGCAAGTGCAGAATGCTAATTCCTGGGAAGATTTAGAGAAACACTCTGACTTCTTGGCTTTTTCAAGATTTACAGAAAAGGCCCCTGGATGGCACAAAGAGGCACGGCTCACTTCTTACTTTGATGGTTCTGCTTTATGCAGCGTGGTCAGGATTTTTCCTCTACAAGCTCCACCTCTAAGATCAAAACTAAAGGAACTCAGTGCTGCTCTATTCCAGCAGGACCCTCCCACAGCTCCCTGTCCCTTTGGTACCCTGCTGTCCATACCTACCTTTCCCCAGGCCAGAGGTGGCCCCTGTGATCACCACCACTGCTCCTCGGAGGTAAGCGCGCATCCGCATCCACTGCAGCAGCCGGAAAAGGGAGAAGATCCCCAGGCTGCCGAAAAGCAGCGGGATGATGACAGTGGATGTGAGGTCCATGAGTCTTCCTTTCTGAACAGCCTTCCTAGGTGAAGGAAACGGACTGTTTCACCAATAAGAGAATTAGCAGAGGCTTGAAAACTACGGAAATGCTTTCACCTAGCCCTGCCTCAGACCACCAATAACCCAAATCCCATTCGTTTTCAACTGATTTCCTCAGCCCTGCATCTAGAGCATGGCTGTCCAATGGTTTGCCTGGGCTGCACTGAGGGAAGAGGAATTGCATGAAGTCGTTAATGTAGTTAATGTATGTAAGTAACAAAACCTTTTAAAAATATTCCTTTTATTTAAACATAAAACAGGCAGGTTGGATGCATGGCCTAGAGTCTAGACTTTCAGAAGATCACATCAGTACCCAATTACAGCAATACAAATATGAACATGCGTTCACTTCCATTACAAGGGTCTTTCAGCTGGCTTATGGTCTTTCAGCAGGACATTTGCTGTTGGATCCTATAAGTTGGACCTTGTCATGCAACAAACCTGGATCCACAGATGCTGTTTCCACAGGCTTTTCTGTTTTGCCTTGAATTCCCTCCTTGTACAACTGTGTACTCAGATTTAAAGCTCTCCAGGGCTGGGATATATCTCTGCGTGCTTCTGACTGTTATAAAGAAAGCTACATTGCTGAACCAGTAAGGAACTATCAAGTATTTCCAGAGGAATAGCTAGAGCAGTGTAAAATAAGAAAGATAGCTAAGCTAGCTCTAAATAGGCATGATGAGGCCTAAAACAAAAAACATCAAACTAGTACACAGCTTTTCTCGTGCTACTATGGAGCTTCCCACTCCCGAGCTAACTCATGCATCTCTACAAAGCACTTCACTGTGTAACAGTGCAGATATCCAGGCCGTGGGCTCCCTTGGGTACAGGGATGTGCCCAAAGTGGAAATCAGAAACCCAGAAGGGGGATGAAATTCATCCCACTGAAAGGCAGTGCACAAGCACATCACCCAGCTGTTCAGCATCTTATTTCTTCACCTCTTGGTGTTCAGTGTGCACGCACTGTGGCTATTTTGTATTGATTTACAGGAGAAGGCAGATTTAAAATGAGAAGAGTGCACAAAATAATCCTCGAAAAAGAGCTGTTAAGACATAAGGTCACTGCCCTTCTTTAGGCTGGATAAGCAGGAGGTGCTGCTTAAAGCATTTAAAGCAGCTGCCTCTTCAAATTGTCCTTTTTTGCTCCGAAGGGTCTCTTGAGATTCAGAAGACAAGAGGTGGGCAGGGACAGCAGGTGCTGACATTGACCAATGTGCCCTACAGGGCCATCCTGGAGTCAAAAACATTCAGCTTCCTTTTAAGACCTTTAATTATTTCCAAAGCAGGAGCTGACAGGAAGGGTGGCAGTTCCTTTACGAAGCCCAACTGAAACTGGCACATTTAGAAACCTGGCCCTGACCAACACTGCTTCAGATTTTGGCAAAATGCAGACAGCAGCACAGAGCAGACGAGAAGCTGACCAGGAGCTTTTCTGACTCTTGTCCTCACTGAACCACAGCAGGAGGTGAGAGAGGCTCCCATGTTTGATTTCAGCGTGGTTCCTTCCTGTTCTTTGGCAAAGCGCAGACTGAATTCACACCAACTCTGTCACAGGGGCTGGTGGAAAAGGACCCCCGTGCCCACCAGCTAAAAGCCAACTGCATTTTGGTGATGTGGCATCCATCACTCATCAGTGTGAATCAGTTCTGCCTGCCTTATTCCTTACTCATATTGCTCATTGTTCATCTACTTTCTGAACAGAAAAGGTCTGCATTTAATCTTCTCTGTTTGAAAATCTTTGTAAGTTTTTTACTGCTTTTCTTCCTCTTCTTTTATTCATATCACACACAGGAATGGGGCAGATTTGCCAATCTCTGCCTGAAGGTTGCAGCAAATCGGCAGCTACAACCCAGTTCTGTGGTTTGAAACAACATCACTCCCTGTGCGTAAAGGGAGGGGAAGCAGAGGATGAGGAAGACTGGATGAAGAGCAGGAGTGAGAAGGAACAGCTAATCAAAGGTAGATCTTAATTAGGTCATACAGCTGTAGGTATCTGTCACAGAAGGTACTCAAACAGCTCCATAAAAGAGCCCCAGAACAAATAAAGCTCAGTCAAGCTAAAAGGAGAAAAGAAACAGGAGAACCTATAGCTGAACTGCTTGGTAAAGAATAAAGAATTCCTTCAACACTTCAAACCAAAAGCAACAGGTTTTCCTTTGCTCTCAGGTAACAGTTCAAAAGTTTGGCTATTTGCATTGAATCTGTGTCTGTGCAAGGATCTGTTATTTATAAACATTGCCATTAAGAATGATATCAAGTTATCTGCAGGAGAGAAGCTGCTACTCATTGTTGGTTCAAATGAACTCCTGAAATTCTCAGTTCTTTATCCCAAGACACAGGATTGGAACTTACAGATTGTTAGAGAGCAGAAAAAATATCACTGATAATAGAAAACCAAATACAGATGACTGGAAACTGTTGGAAAGGCTTCATGTAAAATAAATCACATACATCTGTTAAGAAAAACATTCCCCTTAAAACAAAAGCTGAGTGTTATCCTGTAAAAGCTAGGAGGATTTCAGAGGAAAAAAGGAGGTCAGTAATGTCAGAAGTGCACTAAAGGCAGCAAAGGTGAAAACAAGTGCTAATAAAAATATATATATATCAAAACCCTGATAGTTTCCTTAAACAAGATCTATTCTCCTTCAGTTTTGGCCACCTAGAATCACATTGTGACAAATGGCAGCAACTGGGAGGCTATTTTCAGAAATCAAAAGGTGTCATTTAAAGGGAGCTCAGGAAAGGAAGGGAAAAAAAGAAATCATTTTTCCTAAGAACTCATCCAGAATCACAGCAGCTTTAAGCCACGACTGACCCACTTTAGTCTGAAGAAAGCACAATATCGTACCTTTGAAGGGGCCTCACTTGCCAGAGCCTCTATGAGGTGGTGTCTCCTTCTGGTCTTTTCACAGGACAGATCTGACTTCAATTACAAAATGGCAGCAGTCCAAGCAAGCATGCTCTGCCCAATGCAGGCACAGCCTCTAAAAACAAGCCTCAGGAGTATGCTCTGTGACCTTTGAAACCTGGGGGTAACTTAACCCATACATGAAAGAAACAGAGCTGTGTTGAAAGGTAAAACTTTTGATGAACATCTGATTATTTCTAGTATTAAATAATCTCCAGTGCTGACTTCAGAGCCTCCACTAAATATTCTTTACGCACCAAGGGAAAGGGAAAACAACTCTTACTTGAATCAGTTTGAAGGCACTCTGATTTTATAGCTGTGGCAATGCTGAGGCAGGGCTTGAAGCAGTGATTGAGCACCTGGTGGGAAGGCAGGGCCAACCCAGGGGAGCTCAAGTGTGTGCAATGCATCTGAGTGACTGCAAGGGTAGAGCCAGCATCCGCCCCTTCCCAGACCTCATTTAAGGGCTGGCAGTGAAGATGAGAGCATCTCTTGCTAGAGATTCCTGCTGCATGAGATTTTCTAAAGGTAAGCAGCTCTTTTTCTTTGTTTCTGTACCTATGGTTGTTGTATTTGGGCCTGCTCTTGTTTGCTGTAGGTGAAGGCTCTGCCACCTTGTTATTATCATCCCATTATGGCACTGCAATAGTGTATGCTCTAAAATGGCTGCTATGCTAGTTAAAGGAAAAAGGTTTTTTTTTTTTTTTTTTTTTTTTTTTTCTTTCCTGAGAATTCTTGAGAACTTTGAGCTGAAGTGAACATACAGAGGAGTTTTGTACCACACAGTGCATCAGAACCTGGTATTTATGAGAGAAATGGGTGTTTTGTTCCACTGACCAAACTTGCTAAATCTTTTTAAAGCCAAGAGAAGTGAAAATTACTTGCATTGCTCAAACATCTTCAGTGACCTGACTACTTTAGAAAGAAACTAAAATCAAACTTAGATGTTTAGGATGGGGGAAAAAGAGAAAATCAGTGATTAAACATAAACAGTGCTGACAATTTTTCTGATGTGAAAGATCCCCATAAATGGTAGAACAAGTTTCAGAAACCTCAGCTTAAGTCTAAAGAGGAAAAAACAATGACTCCATTCAAATGGTTGAATTAATGGAATGCCAATCTATGCTTGCAGTACTCACTTCTACTCTTATGAACAGAAAATCACGTCAAAAATACACAAATGTTAAGAAGGAATCCAAATGCTGGATAGAACTGCTCTGCCTGAACTCCTTCGTGTGGGGGGCAGAAGAGGTTTAGGAGGAAGAAGAATGCTTGAACCCAGCTGGAGTTATCAGAAGCAGCAATGGTAGCTGTAGAAGTGCCACGGAGCAGGCAGGGCTCTGCAGCTGTGAGCTCTGCTCTGAGCTGATGGCACCAAGGGGCAAACAATGGCCTGAGGTGTGCCCAGGTGGGTGAACTCGTGTTCCAATAGTCGGGGTTAACTTCTAACAGCACAGCCTCGATGTGCTGAGGGCTGTTACCTGAAACAATGTAGAAGATCTGCCGTGTTTCAATGATAACTGAACGTGGTCATGAATACGATGATGTAAAACTGTTATCGATAGAGCATCCTTGCTCAGTGTTACAGAAAGAGAGGTAAAACACGCTTCTAGGAGCCGCGCTGTGTATTTGACGAATCGTTCTGGCACAAATCTTCCCGCCTCTTTGATTCGGTTCGAGGCTTCTTTCCCACTCCCAAATCCCGGCACACACACTGCTGACGCCGCCCCGCTTCCACGCCGCCCCGCTTCCACGCCGCCCCGCTTC